AGGGTACAAAGTGTAATTTAATGGAATAGCATCATTTTCACATTTTTCCTAAAGTAACTAAGATTGGGAATTTTATAAAAAACATTTAGTTACTTTATTTATCATTATACTTTTAATGAGGAATTTAGTTTCCCTATCCTACCCGTTCGGCTAACGACCCTCCACCAATCAAGGAAGCGGTGGGTGAGAGTGGATACCCATTAAACTGCTATTTTATAGGCAGCAACCTTATACCCCCCTTATAGATCGGCTTCGTGAACGAGGCCTACTAACGGTAAGACTAGCATTTATCTTATACATATATAATAATTATTCTTATAATATTATAATAGTATAGGGGTGAATTTTAAACTTGTAAAATTTTAGGGTTTGGAATTTAATTATTTCAAAATAAACTTTTTAATCAAAAATTCAAATTCCAAAACTTGAGGGCAAGTTTTGAAACATTTCAAAACTATCTAGATCAAAATTCAAATAATATAATTAAACATTTAATTTGTGATTATCTAATTTTGACCTAATTCAATTTCATGCAAGATAATTGATCAAATAATTCAAATAATTAATGTTTATCAAATAAGACAATAATTATCTAATTAATTGATAAGGATTTTTTATTTTGACAAAGATAATCACATAGAATCAATAAAATTCGGATTTTATTAATTAAAAACAATTATGTTAATTATCCCAAGTCAAAATAAGCAAAAATCCCGAAATTCCCTCTGTCTGACTCCCCGACTCGCCGAGTCCCTTACAGAACTCGCCGAGTTCATCTAACTCGTCGAGTACACTTTGGGACTCGACGAGTTTGTCAGGCAGAAGGAAAGAAAATCGATTTTAAGCGATGAACAAACATACAATGCATCAAATACAATAGAAACCAAGCAAGGCTCTGATACCACTGATGGGTTTTGAGCAAAAGAACGTTCCTATGTGTACATACAAAACCCTAAAGCTTTGGATCTAGGTTTCTCTATTGTACATGCAAATTTATCCAAAGACTACAAACCCTAGATCTAGCATGTCAAAGTCGAATTAACATATAAAACAGATTTAGATGTTTACCTCTTGATTGTTGCAAGAATCTTCAAGCTTTGAGGGCCTAATATCACAAGTGTAATACCTCTAATGGCTTACAAACACCAAGGCAAGAAGATGAACTAGAAGAGAGGGAATGGATGCACAATTTTGGCTCCAAGAACTTCTTAGGGTTTCTGGTAGCCGAAATCTGTAGCCCTAGGGGTCCTTATATACTTGAGCTGCCAGGGTTTCAGCCAAAACCCTAATTGATAACTTAGGCCTTAAGCAGTTCAAAGAACCTTCTGGAATAAGGCTTGGACGATTCCAAGGTGGGCTTCCACCCTAATTTCGTCCACCCTCATATCCATAAGGATCCACAGCCCAAAACTCAATTATCTTATAACTGCAATTCTAGTCCCCTTTATTTAATTAATCTTTTTTAGCCACAAAATTAATTCTTAATTAATTCTTGACTAATATTAATTAAACAATATGATTTCTCTTTTAATATATTATTCTCATAATATATTAATAAACCATAATATCCTTTCTCTCCATAAATCATCCTATCAAGTTGCTTTGGTGAAGGCAACCCAAAAGGACCATGCTACAACCGGGTTAAGTACATACCAAATATAGTTATGGACTTAGACACTAATCCAACACTCTGTTGGGTCATGCATTAATTGACACACTTTGTTGACCATAAATGTGATGTCGGTCCAAGACATAGTCACATATTGGAGCGCACCAACAATTGATCGATATTTCACAATATCGAAAAACGCAATATCATCAGCCGAAGAAAGTAGACGTAGTCATGGGTGAGGGCATGCGTTTGGACTCAAAAGATAATATGCTTTCTTGAAACTAGTGTCCGGCTTTTAGGGATGTGATTTGATCACATAGCCCTTAATTATAACTTGTAGTGGATGCAATACACAGTCAGAGAGGTAAAAACATTAGGACCAGATAGTCCTTGTGTGCAGGGCATGTCTGGTGATGGTTAATGAAGTTTCCTTTACGTCCTTTGTAAAAAGGACTACATGTGTAAGAAAATCAAAAATTAAGGACAAATGGTACAAAAAAATTACTTGGACTAAAGTTGCAATTTCAAGAAAACTATATGGACTATTTATGTAATTTACTCAAAATGTTATGATTTACCGAATTTATATACACTCTATTATAGAAAAGGAAATTTTACTTGCAGTAACCTTTCAAATTTCTAATAAACTTTCTCGTGACTTTTTAAATTTCTAATGACAATTAGTTAATAGAAAATAAAGGCAAGGAAAAAACAAAATTTTAGTCTTTTATAACTTTTTTATAATAATACATTATTTTAAAATTAATTAATAATGATAATAATTTACAATAACATAAAACTATAAATTATATTACATTACCATATTTTTTATTATAATTTATTTTTTCAAATAAATGGTTTTTAATTAATTAACATAAAAAAATTACATTGTGTTAACTTACAAACAATGTATTATATATCAGTTCATCATCATAATTGAAATTTTAAAAAAATCAATAAGTAAGTAAATTTCTAAATTAATCAACCGTGACGTTAAATTGTAATATTAAATTGAAAACCATGTTTAGTTTTATTTAAACGCAAACAACTGGTAAATATTATTGAATTATATGATTTTGATAGATATATATTTCATAATATGGTTCAACATAATTACAAATTTATATATCAAGGGTAGTCTAAAAGTTATTATTTTTTATAATTAATATCTTATTATTTTCAACATTTATAAGGGTTGAAAATTTAGCTAAATTGGTAATAAATTAATGGTTGTTTTAAGACGTGAGAATAAAGAAGTCGTGACAGTTGGTCCCCCCGCAACTCAAACAACGCATTCAAACGAACCACCATGAAAAAGTTGAAAAATGTACTTCAGATATGCTTCCATCGCTCCAAATTTCTCCACACCAGGTTCCATTACACAACCCTAATTCCATCAACAACCCATCAAGAACTTGATCCGACCAAAGCTTACAGCAACTCCGTCTCCTCGATCCCCTTATTTTCTCTCTTGAGTTCATGCACAACTCTGTCCTCACTCAAGGAACTGCACTCTTTGCTCATAGTAGATGGCCACTCAACCCAACTCAATTTGCAAATCAAGCTCGTTAGTTTATATGGTTCGTTTGGGGACACGAAAACCGCCCGCCTCGTGTTCGACCAAATGCCAAACCCAGATATGTTCTCATGTAAAGTAATGATCAGATGGTATTTCCTAAACGATCTACACCTTGAAACTATCATGTTCTACAGGTGTATGACGAAATGCCTCAAAGAACATGACAATGTTGTCTTTTCGATCGTAGTCAAGGCATGTACAAAGCTGCGAGATATTAATGAAGGAAAAAAAGTTCATTGTCATATCGTGAAAGCAGGAAACCCCGATGGTTTTGTTTTGACAAGTCTTGTAGATATGTATGCCAAATGTGGTCATATTAAGTGTTCACGAAGAGTTTTCGATGATATTATTGATAAAGATGTTGTTTCTTGGACTTCTATGATAGTTTCTTATGTGCAAAATGGATGTCCTAAAGAAGCTTTCATGGTGTTCAATAGTATGAGAAGTGGATTAATACAAGGCAATCAACATACATTTGGGAGCATCGTTTCAGCTTGTACAAAGTTAAGAGCTTTACATCAAGGAAAATGGGTTCATGGGTATGCTATAAAGAGTGGAATTGGTCTCAATTCACATGTGGTAAGTTCTCTTGTAGACATGTATGTGAAATGTGGGGCAACTCTTGATGCTCGATCTGTTTTTAACGAGCATCAAGAAGCCATGATTGGCTGTCCAAGTGTCGATCTTGTCACTTGGACAACCATGATTGTTGGGTACACGCAAAACGGGTACCCGAATGAAGCAATTACATTGTTTACAGACAAAAATTGGATCGATATTTTACCGAATTCGGTCACAATTTCAAGTGTGATATCCGCGTGTTCACAATTGGGTGATTCGAAATTAGGTAAAGTGATACATTCTTTAGGGGTTAAGTTAGGGTTAGAAGATGGTAATGTGAGAAATGCTCTCGTGGACATGTATGCAAAATGTGAGATGATTAAAGAAGCTCGTTATTTATTCGATACTATTTCAAACAAAGATTTGGTGTCATGGAATTCGATTATAAACGGGTACGCCAAAATTGGTTGTACTTATGAAGTCACAAGATTATTTAATCAAATGAGATCCAAAGGTTTTCATCCGGATGAAGTTACTTTGGTGTCACTTCTTTCTTGTTTTGATCTTCATCTTGGTTCTTCACTTCACGCTTACTCCATTAAAGGGTTCCTTTCATTTGACAATGTTTATATCGGGACATCACTTGTCAACTTCTATGCCAAATTCGGAAAACTAAAAACCGCACGCCACGTGTTTGATAAAATGCCTCAGAGAAATACAGTTTCATGGAACGCGTTGATTAATGGGCATGGGATACAAGGCGATTGTAGTGCCTCCATGGAACTTTTTAATGATATGCTGAAAGAAAACTTGGATCCAACTGATGCAACATTTACATCGATTCTTTCCGCTTGTAGTCACACCGGAATGATTGAAGGATTGAAGTTTTTCGATTTGATTACAAAAGAATTTGAATTTGTTCCAAAAATGAAGCACTACGGGTCTTTAGTGGACTTATTGGCTCGTTATGGAAACCTTGAAGAAGCATTTAACTTCATCAAGAAAATGCCTGTTAGACCTGATGTCACCTTGTTGGGATCATTTCTCCATGGATGTAGTATGCACTCGAGGTTTGACCTTGGTGAAGCTGTGATGACGTGGATGTTTGACCAAAATCCAATTGATGCTTCATATTATATTCTCATATCAAATTTATACGCTTCAGATGGAAGATGGAATCAAGTTTTAAAGTTACGCGAGTTGATGAACATGAAAAAGATAAAGAAATCGCCTGGATGCAGTGTAAATTTATCTGGTTTGAATCATGCTACACCCTTGAAGCTTTCTGAGACCTGTGGTTTTCATCTTTGACCTCACATTTTCAAATTGTTTCCAATCTTGCCCTTCGGCTGATATATTAGACAACAAAGTGTAGTAACCCGTGTCATCAATCTTTTCAAGATTTTCTTGAATTCTGTTCATTATGTCTAGTCTTCTATGAATCCGACACCCGTTTAGCAAAGAACCCCATACGCCAGAATTGGGTGGAAACGGAATGGAATTGATGATTCCGTATGCGTCATCAAGATGACCCGCTCGACTTAAAAGATCAATCAAGCAAGAATAATGTTCCAAATTCGGTTCAACTCCAAAATCTTTCATGGATTCGAAATAAAACTTACCCTTTTCTACATATCCCGCATGACTACAAGCAGAGAGAATGTTCATGAATGTGATTCCATTCGGTTTCATCTTTGACTTTATCATTTCATCAAAAACTGAGATAGCAAAGTCAACGTATCCATGCATTCCATAAGCATCAATCATGGCACTCCATGACACGACACTTTTGTTTGACATCATGTCAAAAACACGTTGAGCCATGAAAAGATCACCACATTTTGCATACATATCAACTAAAGCGGTATCAATATATGTATCTATATATCTATCAACATTCGTAATGAGCTTATGATGAATCCATTTTCCCTTTTTGAGATGCCTCAAATCTGAACAGGTTTGAATCGCATTCAAGAAAGTGACCTCATCCATTTCTAGATCTTCCAAGAACATATGATCAAAAAGATTCATGGCCTCGATTAAGTTGCCATTATAAGAAAAACCCCACATCATAGAGTTCCATGTCACGACACTTTTATGATCCATGTTGTTGAATATGTTATATGCTATATTCACAAAACCACATTTAGCATACATGTCAATGAGCGAATTGTGGACAAATTCATTCAAAATCCCGGTTTTAGTAGCATACCCATGAATCTGAGTTCCATGATTAAAGTAATTTAAGTTACCACAAGTGGATACAACACTTGCTATAGTGAATTCATCTGGTGATATTTTGCATGACATCATTTGTTTGAAAAGATCTAACGTGTGATCAAACATCCCTTCACGAGTGTAACCTGATATAACCATATTCCATGAAACTAGATGTCTGTTTTTAGCTGTATCGAAAATCTTGTGGCAAGAAGTCAATTTTCCACAATTGGCATACAAATCGATCAGTGATGATTCAAGAATGTTGTTATCAGGGTCGAGGTGTTTTCTAATAACAAAACCATGAATTGACTTACCTTGTTTTAGAGAACTTAGTCTAGCACAAGAAGAAAGAATGCCCATCATTGTGATTGCATTTGGTTCTGTTTTAGATTCTTGCATTTTGTTAAAAACCTCCAATGCTTCTTGAAAGTAACCATTGTGATTGTAGCATGTGATCATGGCTGTCCATGATGAAGTACAATGAGTGGAAACAAGGTTGAAAAGAGTCTCAGCAGTATACAATTCTCCACATTTTCCATACATAGCAACCAGAGAGTTTATCAATGTGTTATTATCGTTGCTTTTGATGTTTCTTGTTATTGTGTAGCTGTGAATTGATTTCGATTGTAGCCCTAAACACAATTCACCACATGCTTCTGCTATACTAAGTAGAGTCACATAATCTGGTTCATGTCCATCTGTTACCATTTGGCGAAACAATTTCAACCCTTGAATTGCTTGACTGTTACGAATATGCATTGAAATGATGGAGCTCCAGGAGACAATATCTCTTTCATGCATTTCATCGAACACCTTACGTGCGTGACTCAAGTAGGATGCTTCTCCATACATGTTGAGCAATGAGGTTTGAACTACAGGATCTGATTCAAGTCCACTCTTGATTATCCTTCCATGAACAGTTTGGCCAACATCCAAATGACGAGAACCAGAACAAGCTCTTAAAACGGATGGGAATATGAAGCTGCTGATGAGGGTTAGTTCGTGCAACATATTGTAGTATAAATTAACAGCTTCTGTGAATAATCCGTGCCAAACATAGCGCTTGATCAAAACACCATACATGAAAGAATCTGGTCTAGGGAAGGTTTGAAATACGAGTTTTGCAGAATCGAGAGGACCGATTTGGGCGTATGATTCAATAAGTTTAGTTGAAGCGAGATGGCTTCTGTGTTGGCCTGTGACAAGGAGATGAGCATGGAGTTGAGTGAGTGTTCTTGTGGTGTAGCAAGATCTGAATAAGGGCATGTACTGTGTCATTTTGATGGTTCTTAAATCTTCGCAGAGAGACGCATGAATCTGGAATCAGATTTGAGGAATTTGGTTGATCTTTGGTACGTGAAAGATAATTCTGGAGGGCGAGTTCAACCAAAATCAACTGGCATTTATAGTCACTCCATGACTTATTGTTACAAAAAGTTTTACGTGTACCCATTTTCGTTTTAATTTTATTTACCTTTTATTTTTACAAGGAAATCTGTAAGGATGTATTTGATTGGATAAAACGTAATGTCGAAAAAATAAAATGGATATATGGAATAGATCAAGCAAACTAATGAAATAACTTATTATGAGGGCGGAGTTTTAAATAAATTATATATTTAATAACTATATATATATATATATATATATATATATATATATATATATATATATATATATATATATGAGTTTATTCAAGATATTACATATAGTTTGGGTAGCCCAATTGGCATAAACATGTCCTTTATTTAAAACCAATGTAGGTCCTAGAATATTTTGATATTTTAAATTCAAGTTACACTATTGACCATTACATTATGTTATATATTTAATAATCAACCCGTTGTGAAATCAGTTTTAGAAGTTACATAATTAGTCTTTGAACTTTTTATAAAATTTCATATGTTCCTTTTTAATTGATTTATTTACTTATATATTAAAAAAATTGTATTTATGGTCATTTTTCTTCTTAGCACATGACCCTTAAAATCAACCGGCCGGCCCTGTTTATAATATATTATTATTATTTCTTTTTTACAACATTTTGATGTTTTAAATTCAAGTTACAGTTAACAAATCAGTTTTAGAAGTTACATAATTAGTCTTTGAACTTTTTATAAAATTTCATATGTTCCTTTTTAATTGATTTATTTACTTTTATGTTTTCCATAACGACAATTCACCGTTTTAAGTTTGTTTTCCTTATATATTAAAAAATTGTATTTAGAGCCATATTTTTCTTCTTAGCACAGGGTCCTTAAAATCAACCGGTCGGCCCTGCTTATATTATTATTATTATTATTATTATTATTATTATTATTATTATTATGGGAAAAGTTTGTCTAAATAAATTAATGTTTGTCGAAATAAATCAATGTTTATATGGATTTTTATATTATATATAAATACAATATATAGTTGGAACTCTAGTATGCATATTATTTAATTATATTTTAAGATTTCTAATCAGTTAATCGGAAGGACTAATTTTATTGCATTTTTATCTGTGATTTTTTTTTTCAAACCCCTACATTTTATACATTTCACAAGTGGGACCTGCGAAATTAGTGAGCTGTTTATGAAAAAAAAACCTTAATTTTTTTATTGTCTAAATTTTAGAAAAAGCTAATGGGAATTAACAAAATTTGTCTTTTTCTCTGACTCGTGGTCCTGGATGGATTCTTGATATTGAAGGTTGAACTTGTATCTTTTCTCTATCTTGCCAAATTCACAAATTGAATTTGAAAAATCCAGCATTCAACTTGCTATTCTTCAAGAACAACAAGAAAAGAAACCATCCTTAATCCAAGTACAAAAATATATACATTCTATCTATACGACTACAAGCCATGAGGTTTTTGCAGCAACCACTACAAGATCACATCAACTGCTTGGATTACATCCGTTCAAGCATCACCTCCGGCCCTCTCATCCTTTGGATCATATGGCACCTCGTGTCGTGGTCTATTGTACTTCTCACGCAGTTGCTTCACTGGAATAAAATCTCCAGCCGAATCCATACCATAAAATAAAAAGGATGCGTACGGATGATCAAACCTAGCCTGCATATAAACACGACAAAACACAACAAGTCTCACGTCAAGTCAATCGGACAAAAATGCAACTTTTTGTGCAAAAGACGTAAATGCCCTTGTCATTCTCAAAATCGAAAATAGCCCTCGAAAGCTTTGTCGAGTCTAGTAAATTAATATATGAATACTTACCTTATCTGGTTCTTCTGGAGCCAGTAAATTTTCCTCTGGAACTAAGAAAATCGAAGAAACAAAAGTAAATAATATTTTAAGGCTAAAATTGGAATTTGGAATTAGGTTATGAAATTGTATGAGGAAAAAACTTACCATATGCTACCAATAGATTGGGGTCTTCATGTACATCAACCAAAATCTGCAAGAAAATAACCAAAGAAAAAATAAACCATACAATAGACTGATTATGATAGTTAAGAATTAAAGTAATCAACAAAATTTTTGATGAAAATTAGAAATTAAAGAGATCTATAATGGAATGGAGGTTTTGGTGAGACCTGATAATATGGCTGATCAGGACCACGAGTCAACTGGTCAACATTTGCAGTTTCCATCCATGATTTTGTTTCACAGCACACTGGATCCATTCCACAAACCACACCTCTGTATCCTTTTATCACCACAATCATAAAATAAACATCATCAACACCTTTTATATATTTCAAACTATAATTAATGTCTTAATAAGAAAAAGAAACTGAAAAAACATATACCAAATTTTTTGTGTCTGACTTTCTGGCCTAAACGAAATTCAAATTGAGCATTTTGAAAAGCTTGTGCTTTTATTGATGCAGCCAATGAATCAGCCTCAAGTTTGGAAATTTGATCACGTAATTCAGCTGCCAATGAATAATTTTCATTCTGAATTGCTTTCTGCAGGTCTGCTCTGCAGGAGAAAATATATATACATAAAAAATGAAAAAGAATATTATATAAACATTATTTAAAAAGATATACCTGGATGAAGCTATAAAAATATAGTATTATATAAAAACTCACCGGATGCGTAACAAGCTTAATCCCTTGTCTTGAGCTTCACTTTTTATGGATAATCCCCTCTTTGTTTCTTGTTGCTTTATCACTTCAGCTTCAACCTTACACAAAACATTACAACTGTAAGCCAATACAGATATTGAATGAAGATTAACAAAAGCATAGGAATCATATTCCTTCAAGAATGGTCCCCTGGAATGAACCATTCCATTCCCTCCCTGATTCCAGCATACCAAACACTCATAAACTATGTGCTAAATGAAACATTACAACCATAAGAGCTGAACTAGATTATCAAACCTCATTGAGTTTGTTTCTCAACTGTTTTGCAATATCATACTCCTCCAAATTCAATGCATACTACAAACAAGAGAAGGTGTAGAACTTGATAAGCAAATTAGAGATATCTCTATATAATAATAACAATAATAATAATACAAAGAATGAAGCATGTGAAAAACCTGTACTCTAGTTGCCAAATCCAACTGGTAAAAGAATATGAGTATATCCTCATTGGCACTATCACTATGCTCTAAACTCGCATCTGAACCCTGTTCACCTCCACCTTTAAAAAACCAACCTGCTTCAACCCTTGTATTTCTTTGTCCAGATATATCTGAAGGGCTTGTGAAAGGGTAATTTTGTACACATTGGTGTGAAAGGAATCTTTTTACAGTCCCAAAGATTATGTGGCTTCTTTTCAGTCTCAAGTGCCTCCTTGAAGCATTGGTAGATCCACACACACTACTGTTTGTGGATGCTGTAATGGTGGTTACTGACATTCTTTTGTATGAATTGAACACAGATGATGTTGACTTTTCCTTTGTTTTAGACAGATATGCTTTCTTTTCTACTGTTATGTATATGAACCTGACACCAATTTGTGTCATGATACTATGATTAGTATATTAATCAAAGCAAATTAACAGAGGATGCAGAAACTGAATACAAATGCAGCATTAGACTACGAATATTGAGATAAATTGGCATTCAAGGTCATAGTTTTTAGTGATTATAAGAAAGGAGAATCAGCAATTCAGCATTAACTAAAATGATGGTTCTATAAACAGTCTATGGTAATGAACATTTAATTCACGAACTTATATGCAAATTTGATGATTTCCACAGCTTTAGGGTTCATCATTCAGTGATAACTCTTTTCCTTCCTCAAAAGACATGCACGCTCAATGAACCTCGGAATCAGATAATAATCAATTTGAAACAAAACTAAAGGAAACTGCGTCCGGTGTAAAAGTAGAAAAAGATCCAAAAGCTACTGTACTGTTGAACAACGATAATTAGATAGGTGAAGAAATGAGATTACTTACAAGAAAATTCGGAAATCAACGTGAATAGCGAATACCGCAGGATTTGATTTCTTGAACCCTAATTTGTTGGGGTTTGATTTGTGCTTCTGTTTCAGCCTCAGAATTTGACTGGTGTATATGTTGTTAGTTTTTCCTGTGCCTCAGAACTCGCTATCAACTGCCATAACTTTCAATTTGGAGAGCTGCTTTTCCTCATAACAATTAATGACCGCTACCTTTGGAGTAACTTTGACTTTTTGGACGTTACTTTTGCAAATTTACAGTTTTTTTATATCCATTTTGCAGAGAAAAAAAATATGATACTTCATGAATTTTTTTTCTTTATATGATATTCATGAATTTTTATTTTTTATGCAAAAATTATGTCATTTCACTGGAAAAATGTCGTTTTCATGAAAACTAAATACATTTACCCAATTTTGTTTGAATCTAATTTTGTTTAAATTTGAAAAACTTTTTATGTAAAAAGAACCAATTTCACAAAAAATAGGTCAATTTCTGTGGATAATATAAAAATTCATGAGATGATGGTGGGACCACTGAAAAACACATTCACAAAAGGAAGGAATTTCGAAATGCCATTTTGCAAAATAAGTGCTCCTTTGTGATAAAGGTTAAAAGTAAAGTTATTTTGTGATATAGCCCTCCAATTATTTTATTTAACTATCTTTAAGTAATATTAAGGGTTGTAATAAAACCAACTTTGATGATAAGTATAACATGATCTAATTATCTATAACCTGTTGTAATATATTTATAATATGTTATTTAAAACCCTAAAATGTTTAATCCCAACAACTCCAACACCAACAAGCTTATACCAAACATATTATTTGTAATAGGTAAACCAGGTACTCAATGACCTGTTAGGATCGAAGGATTGACTATCAACAATAGTTCACACAAACGAGAGAAACTACAACTTGGGAATAAAAACCATACTGTCAGTTTGTCATTGTCAATTCTCTTTATGTTATCACAAACCCTAAACATTACACTCCATAACCAACAGAACTACAACTTGGGAATAAAAACCACACTGTCAGTTTGTCATTGTCAATTCTCTTTATGTTATCACAAACCCTAAACATTACACTCCATAACCAACAGAACTTCAAACCCTCAAACACTGGTCTAATGGTCTTTTGGTTTTATCACAAACCTCAAACATGTCACCTTGAGTTTTGTCCTATTGTGCTTATTTCATAATTCATTATGTTGTGCTTGCATGCTTGCCACGTGTTCAAGTTGACTTTTCTACGACAATTATATAATATCTTAGATAATGATTATAGTTATTATTAGTTGATCTATAACCTTAAAATTTTAAAATCATTAAAAAAAATGCTACAAGTTTCTCTTGAAATGTGTATCATATAGTACATTACGTTCTTGCTTCGGTTCTACATCATTACATCTATCTTCATTTTCTCTAATGTCACAATAAGGATCACATTATTCCAGTCCTTATTTTTTATTAAACTTAGGGCTTTCTCATTTATAGAAGTAAAATAATTAGTTGATAACATATTTGCATGTTTCTACCAATAAAGGCAACATACTTTATCTTTTACCCATAAAAGCAACCAACTTACTTTATTGATAAAAAATATTTATAAGCTGGTTGCTATAATGGATAAAGTTTAAGCAGCAATTTGCGGAAAAAAATCAAGTATAATATAGTCAAGGTAAAGAAAATCAACAACATTACTATTAAATTTTATTCAACATGATTATTCCAAACAATAAACAAATTTCACAAGAACAATCTAAAGTGTTGAAAACTTTACAGGAGGAAATAAAATACATCACAACTCACATCTATAAATAGAAGGAAACTTGAATAAATAAAATGGAAACTTTACAGTTGAGTCATAGCAGCTTCTTTGCAAATATGCAAACTGAAGAAGAGCCTTGGTGTACTTTTTGCCCAAATTTGCATAAAAATGTGATATCTCATGTCTAAGGTCGTTGATATACATATTTTGTTCTTGGATCCACAATAAGCCCTTTTCCTCCATTCACTTCCAAATCATGCCTACATCATCACATCACAAAACATTTACTAAATGTAAGAGACATGACTTAATCTGGTAAGTTACTTAATATAGAAAGAAGGACTTAACAGAAAAAGTAAGGATTAACACTCAACTGGAAGACAAAGTCAGGAATTGTTAGCTGTTCACGAGGAACATATCTGAAAAGCTGAAGAAGTCGATCAACATATACAGCCTTTTTCCACACCTGCAAATCAACATCAATATAAACTATCTATATATACTATAAAATGTAGTAATTTTTATAAAATGTGAGAAATTTTAAGATAATTACGTACCATGCCATCGACTAATAGTTGCAATGCAAGTATGGCAGCCTTGAGTCCAAAGGTCGGGTGGAGGATGTATATTGCCTGCATAAGTGAATCAAACAATTACTCCCTAATTTAATGAAAACAGCCTTTTTGTATATTTTGCTATTTATAAAAAAGTCAAAGTCAAACATTGAAATTTTCTTTGTCTTACATGAAGATTGCGCTGGCTTTTCCTACCAAGTATTTGCTGCAATTTCCTCATAAATCCCAAATCTGGCTGCCTGTTATGTTAATTCCACAAAATGATATTTACAAAGTAGAAAAATCCAACATATTATATTTCTTACATTTAGTGCAATATTACAGATAATGTAATGAGAACTTACACTTGTAGAGATGCAGCAGAGTGGAAGTAAACAATGCTATAAGGTTTTTGTATCAAGGGTTCAAACTCCTGATAATTTTAACAATTTCAAACAAAGATCATATACTTTCACTCCAAAAATATCAGAATAATTGTAAAAGAACATGTGTCAAGATTCAAGAATTGTATTTTACCTTTACTACATAAAGAACAAATCTTTCAAGATCAAGACAACGGAGGAGAAAATGTGCTCCAACTACAACCATTACTGGTCTACCTTCACTATCTACCCCTCCCCTGTATCTGAAACATGAGTATACAGTGTAAGCACCATATATTTAGTCTAATTAAAACACAAGAACTACTTACAGAATCTTCATTTCTGCTATTTCGGAAAGATTAAGAGAATTAGCTTTAGCAAGATATCTAGAATGAAGCGAATATTCTTCAGCAGCAGAAAGTTTTGGGCCTCCAAGATCACCAAACCCTAACATTTTAGCAAAATTAAATCCGTTTTGTGCTCGAGCAGTTCTTTCCCATTGTTCCTTACGCCTTTGATCAGGATCTTTAATTATAGACATAAAAGCAGGATCTAAATATGCTTCCAAATGCGAAGAGTTCCTGTCAAGATTCAAACAAAATGAAATGGGACCCACGAAACCTAAAAAATATTAAAATGGCATTTTTTTGTAATTAATTAACTGAGATTTAAAGGTCACTAACCTTCTAGCCATTACAAGATCACTAACAGGAACATCTAGTGAGGCTCGTTGAGGTTTAGGGCTACTACTTTTCTTGAGATTTGGTAATGGTTTTATTCTGATTTTTCTTTCATCTATTACTGTTTCACCATTTTCATCTCCAACATCAGCAGGAAGCTTTGAAATTGCAATCTCTTCTTCCTTTTTGTCACGGGGAAAGTAGAGTGGAAGTAGTCTGCATTTGTAAAGAAAATAAAGTTTTACGTGTGTATATAATTATAAATGTCATATGGGAAAAACAAAAAAATAATACATGAGTTTACCTTTTATATATTTCAGTATCATTTGTTGTTGTTAAACAAAAGACAACACCTGTAATTTTATCCTTTTGTTTCTCAAGTAATCGGCGAACAGTTCCTGATAGAAATAAGGGTCAGTAAATTTCCAAAACACACACAAGGAGGGTATTTTTGTCATTCTGTAAGCAAGTAAAGAACTGGAATTGTTACTTATTGCCACATGGGCTGCTGGTTCCCGTGGATAATTTTTGGCTTCTGTGTATATACACCCCATAGCAATGCTGTATTTAAAGATTCCAAGGGATAATAAGCTCAAGTATATTACATAAAAATAAATATAATAAATGATTGTAAAATGCAGCCTATGGATTTGAAACAACCTTTGAAGTCCATTTTCAATGAGGAGTTCTAAACAAGCACGATAGCAGTGACTCAAAGCATTTTCTGCTGCAGTATGATATTTTACAGCATACTTAGGCCCAACTGTATGTATAACCCTCCTGCAATATAAACATAACAGAAAATGAAATCAGAACAAAGGGAAATAATAAAGCAAACAATTTTCACAAAACTCACCTTGCAGGAAGATCATAAGCATTAGTAACTTTCGCCATCCCTGTTCTACAGCCACCCTGTGAAGCAAAAAGTCGCATCACATCACATCTTCCAATTACCAAAATGCACTTTCAAATCACACTATAACTATAAATAGAAATTTTGTGTTACCAATGTTGCACATTCTTCAGCTAGACCAGGCCCAGCTGCAGCATGCAAACCAGGGCTGCATTGTGATTCATCCAAATTCTGTAGAAAACTCAAAATTTTGACCAATGAGGTGATAACAAACAAAAAAGGTCAACATTCAACAACTGCATACCTCATTTGTGGAATTGACAACAGCATCTACTTCAAGATTCCATGGATTTCCTCTCCAAAGATAGATTTTTGAGTTAACTTCATGGTCAACTGGAAACCTTGAGACCTTTCCACTACTTTCTGCCCCAGAAGAAGAAGCCAAGGGATCAGGGAAGTTTGAATTTGGAAAATTGGGATCTTCAATTTCATAAGAATATCTAAAATCCCCATCACTCCATCTAGGAATTTGATCAAGAGTCACCACCACATCTCCGCTATCAGTAGGTTGTCCACCATGAGTCTGATCTGCCGCCATATGCCGGTACATTTGTTTTCTATCAAATCTCCACCACCCTCCTTTATCCCTCTCAACTCATACAAGTTCAAAAAACTGCCATTGACAAGTTTTTCAAGCCCCCAAAGACCTTCACAAAACCAGAAATTTGAACAAATTCTATCAATCTCAAAAACTTTACCCATGATATAATTTAGGGAAATTAGGGATTGGGCGAATGTCGAATTATATCAGAATCAATCAATTTGATGCGAAATTGGAAAGGGAATAAAAAAATTCCATCAAAGACAGAATCCTCAATCGCTAGCTATGGCAAAACTAATCGAATGAAAGCTCTATGATTTCGGCAAATTAACTAAATACGATGGAGTTTTGCATCATATCATAATCATACAAAAACTGAAAAACATCAAACAAACAAGCAGAAATTCAGAAACTTTTGAGATTATAACAAGTGTATTGAACATATACGACGGATGTTCAGATGCAGGAACTGAAATTACGAAATCCATATACATACCTGCTAATCGGTGGAGAGATTTGGGGGTGTCTATCTAGAGAATAGAGATGGAGAGAGAGGATCACAATTATTGGTTAAACCTGGGTAGAGCTTGTGTCAAAATTACAAATTACAAAAAGTTAATTTAAAAATAAAAATAAATACACCCGGAGCTTTCATTGTCTTTTTTTGTGGTTTCGACTGCGGCTTATGTATGTTGTAAGAATCAGCCTCCATCTTTTTCTTTTTTCCCTTTATGGTCCTTCTGTTAAATATTGAACAAATAAACCCTTAGGGATCATCGTATAAAACTTCATATTACAAAGAAATCTTATCTTATAAAGTTATAAATAAATATATGTTACCGGTAATGGTATTATTAAATTACAACCCATGAGTCTTTTTTAAGGTGACTCGACTGAAACACTTTATGTAGGGATGAACATTTGGACCGGGGAACCGGTCGGAACCGGAACCGAATAGAACCGATCGGGTCAGGACCGGGACGATATTATTGTGGATTTTTGGAACCGGTAGAACCGGCAAAAATCGGTAGTACCGGCAAAAACCGAAACCGTATATTGCTATTTCTCGTGGACAGGTTCCAACATTGAAGACACGGCTAAAACCGGTAGAACCGGCGGTCCGGTTCGGTTCCCATTTTCCACCAAGTTCGGTTCCCGGGACGGTTCCAGTTCGCGTCGGTTCCGGGTGGGCCGGTTCCGATGCTCATCCTTAACTTTATGGTTGTTTGCCATGTCTAGGTGCTGGAAAAATCCATCGATGTCTATTTTGTTCAAATATGTTTCTACATATATATAAAGTGAAAAAGGTGATTAGTTGTATTTGACAATAATCTAAAGTTATTTTTGTTAGATAATTATGAGACCATATCATATATAAGTAATGTTATCCTTAAATCTAATTATTATGGTAAGAATATAAATTGTTGATGAACCGATTTATATAATATATTACTTACCTTGTGGGTTAAGTTTTCGGTTTGATTCAAGATTCTCAAGATCACTTACATCTCTCACATTAGGTATATCTCCATTTATATATACATGTGATGAGGAGAAGATCAAGATATACGAAAATACATATAAGAAATTTGTTTTAGGGTTTACTGTGGGATTCAGAGAGAGTTCTTGAGATCAAATGGAAAACTTAACCCTAGTTTTTCAGATTCGAAGATCATAATGAAATCAGGTATGTAATCGTTCTTTCAAGTTTAAGTTTTCTTTTAATCAGATTCGAGACTAAAGATCCAAATTTATGTTTCCGCGTTTTATGTTTTTGGTTATGAAAATAACCATTGATTGGTATCAGAGCCTACTCGAATTTGTTACTAGAAATTTTGTATTAGTATCGTGTTTATACATATCTGCTTTCATTTGTTGGAACATAAACATACCTGGAAAGGTCATTGGGAAGGTCAGCCGAGAGATTTTCTTGTGAAGTCGAAGAGTTTAGAATAATAGTATTAATGTCAAGATATGTTACATAGAAATCCATATATATTATGGGTCGATTATATATATATATATATATATATATATATATATATATATATATATATATATTATGGCGTTAGCAAATTTTGTTTCCATTTATTCTTCTTAAGGTTCATAAAATAAAATTTTAAGAATTAATAAGGTGTTTAATGCAAATTAAAATAATTTGATAATGTTTGTAGCATAAGACTAATCCATGTATTTATAAGATGCATTTTTGTGCATATATTTAATTTTCCATTCATTGTTGATATGGATTAATCCATGCATTTCTTAAACACATCTTATTGTCAATATATATATATATATATATATATATATATATATATATATATATATATATATATATATATATATAACATCTGTCTATGTCAACATATCTTGACATTTTGTGTACAGTTTGATTACATCTAAATTTTTGTCTCGTAGTTTTGGAGATTGATTTAAATCATCAGTTTATAGAGACGTACATTGTTGATTTATTCAACTTGTTGCTTACTTAAGTTGTTTTTAAGGTCATCAATAGATTCAGTTATGAAAATTTATATTTTGGTTTCTGTGTTTATTAATGCGGATATCAATCGACATTGATATTTGGCCGAATAAACAAATATATGATAATAAACATGCGATATTTTTTTAGATTCAATGTCATTAATAAGTCAATCCAAAGAGAGACTTTGACATGTTTTATTGTCGATGTTTATTATTAAATTCTATGATTTTTGTGTTAATTAATGCGGATATTAATCGATCCAAAGGTAGGTTAATATTTAGCCGGATAAATACATGTTTAATGTATTTTTTAGGTTACATGTGATTAATAAGTCAATCCAAAGAGGGGCTTATTAATTGACGTGATTTATTGTTAATGTTTATTATTAAATTTTATAGTTTATGTGTTTTTAATTAGCCGACCAAAATATTGGTTGATACTTGGTTGGATAAACACATATGTGTTATAAACATATGACAATTATTTTGGTTTCATGTGATTAATAAGTCAATCCAAAGAAGGATTTGTTAATTGACATGCTTTATTGTCAATGTTTTATAACTAAAATAAAAATATCTTTTGCAAGTTAATATACGAATCCAAGGACTTGATATTAATGTTGTACAGATATCTAATAAGCATGTCATAAATTGATTTTATTGATTAAAGTTTATGGATTAATGTGCATTAACTAAGATTGCCTATGTTCTCAAAATGAATCATTTGAATTTTGGCATAATATTTGCACATTCATGTGTTCAACAGGACGAACTTTAAGGAATGAAATTAGAACATTATGTTAGTTCTCGGTTGTATGGATATTGACCTTGCATTCTAGATATATCAACATTATTTGAGGATGTTGAGTTTGGATAAGAAGCAAGGTTAAAACATTGTCCTTAAAGAGGAATCAATTTTGATTCCTATTATTGCTTTCGATAGTATGTAGATTATGTATCAGTGATCGAAAATGTTATTCAATCTCCTATTCAGAATACACAAACTCAACAATCTCAACTTTGGATATCCTGTACGTGGTACTAATGTTTCATCAATTTATTATCTCTTTTGGTTTTGAGGTAAATATAGTAGATGATTTTGTGTATCACAGATTGAGTGAGAGTAAATTTATCTTTTTGGTTTTGGTCAGATATCTACGCAACCTAAGTTTGGATCATAAGAACGCAACCAAATGAATTTTGAGATATCTATATATAACAAAAGGCTATATGCTCAACTATAGGAAATCATATGTTTTGGAGATCATTTTTATTAAGAATATGATTTTATTAGATGTCAAAATGGTTACCGATCCATATCAAGATACTTTTACATTTTAGCATGATGAGTCATTTCATGGAATAGACTTCGGTAGCTTTTTCCATAATGGTAGAATAATTTGTAGCATGGAATATGGTGTCACGCCCCCGAACCGGGACGGCAGAAACGTCCGGGGGCGGGTGATTTCATCTTGTAATATCATAACAATTGTATATAAATGATACATAGCAACCACCATCATCATACATTTAAGATATCAACATGCATTGTTTACAACATTGTTTTTATTCATGAAAATACATCCAAAAATAACAAAATGTATGATGATTCAAAAATACAATAATTATCCAAATTTCCTTAGCTGCCAACCTGTTTATTGAGTCCCTGAGAATACAAGTCGTTTTGAAAAGCGTCAACATAGAATGTTGGTGAGTTCATAAGCATTTTTATAAGAAAACTTTGTAATAGTTTGTAAACTCCAGAAAATTCAATATTTTCTGTAAAAACAATAGTTTGTGAGTCTCGTTTCAAATCATGTATATTTGCATGTGTGTTCTTTGTTTTCCTTGTTTGAAATTATATGGAGAGTGTTCCCAGAAAATCCTATATTTTCTGTTATACGAAAAATGGTGGCCTTGAAACCTTAAGACCTGAGTCATGAAAATAGTCGACACATAGTTTTGTACTTTATAAAACGAGTAGAATGTATATTTCGCGTAAATTTAAATATCATTTTTGTTATTCTCTATGTGAGTCGTTACAACCATACTAATATGACTAAAATGCTTGTCTTGACGTTCTTCAAGTGTCGGTTTCTAATAAGATATTTGTCACCCTAGACTGACATGTGTAACTGTAGCGAACAGCTCAGGTGTGGAGGTGTCAACCCCGTATAGATCTATACACAATATCCTGCTCTCCCTCCAGGAGGCTCTGGTTATAACTACAGGACTTACAATGTACACTGGGTAGGTACGAGTAAAAGAGTGTCTCACAAGAGCCTTAACGGAATTTACGCGAGTATTGACTTTCATTATTTAACATTATAAATAATGTTACCGGTGTATATTTTGACTACAAATTATAAGTGACAAAAATAGTTGTTTTTACGACAAGTGTCAAAAATAGCCCAATTTTACCAACATTGTCAATAAAGGCCCAATTTTACTAAAATTGTCACTAAAGGCCCAATTTTACTAAAATTGTCATTAAAGGCCCTATTTTACTAAAATTATCAACAAAAGCCCAATTTTACTAAAATTATCAACAAAGGCCCAATTTTACTAAAATTATCAATAAAGGCCCAATTTTTCTAAAATTGTCATATAAGGCCCATTTTACATGTTTTAGTAAAAACAACTTTCTATATATCCAAAATGTTACCATTATAAGTGTAACTTGCCATATTTTCCATTTTTCTTCAAGTTTTCATGACAAAAATTTGTGTTAACATTTTCTTTGACTTTATGGTGATTTTATCACACATCAAAGATAACCTTTTAAGCATAACAACAAATCATATAAGCTACACAAGATAACTTTGTTTTTCCAACAACTTGAGATTCAACCAAAATCTCGAGTTCATGGAGTTTTAACATGATTACACAACATTTCAACACACATAACATGTAAAACATACACATGCAAGCAAATATACAAAGATCTTTCACAAGACTAGACTTGTATCCTCCCCCAAAAGAAAGAAAACTCGAAAAATAGGGGTATGAAGCTCACCTTGGGGCTTTTTCGGTTTGTAGAGGAAGATGGAGAAGGTTTTCGGTCCAAGCTTGCTTCCTTGAGGAGATTTTCGAGATCAAAGTTGTTCTAGGAAGCATGGACACGAAAAT